CAGGGTTCAAAACCCAGCAAAAGCAACTTTAACAGAAAATCTCTACAAACTTCATATTGTCAGATAATTACCCTTATTACAAACACCTGCTGACTTGACAAGCACAGGCTGGTTTAGAAAACACATTTGAACTTGGTCACATTTCATTCTGCAAGTCCACTGCTGCAGGCAAAGCCATGCTACAAGGCAATGCACACTTGTTTTTACATCGTAAAAACCCATGTCTAGTTTGTTCTGTTTTTTATAACAGAAATCAATCTGTATGCAAATATGTGATCAATACTAATATAAAAAGTAAAACATGTTAGCTCGTGCTAGCCCGTTGTTTACTTAAATAATCCAACTTATTTCTGTGATTTTTCTCTCAAATCCATCAGAATTACCTTTAAATGGTAAAAGGACTGAACTTATAGAGTGCCTTATTAAATCAAGTGCCTGACACTTACAGACATTCACCCATTCACACACTGATGATGGTAAGCTACATTGTAGCCACAGCTGCCCTGGGGCACACTGACAAGAATTTGAGGACTATACTAAGAATTAGGGAGGGGGGGGGGAGCCCGAATTTCAATTGTACTAGTTATTATTAAACTTGGTATCAAACTGATCATGGAGCAGTGGTGTCGCATTTTATTAACTGGTGTAAGTCATCCTTTTTAGATATAAACGTCAACAAAACCAAAGAAATGATTATTGACTTCAGGAAAAACAAAAATGCCATCTCTCCTGTGTTCATTAATGATAAACAAGTTGACGTTGTGGAGGAATATAAATATCTGTAATTGACAACAAACTCTCTTTTGACAAACATGTGGACACTGTATGCAAGAAAGCCCATCGACGTGTGTACTGTTATCATAAATTATGGAGTTTTAACATGGACAGTAGTTTTATTGAATCTGATCTTTTTTTTTTGTCTTTTATTTGTTGGCATGGGCTTTTGACAAAGAAAAACAAAACAAACAAAAAAAACCACACACCGTATTGTCAGTCTTTGCAGTAAAATTATGTCCCACTAAATGACATCACTACTCTCCATAGAAACAGATCGTTGAAGAAAGCTCAGGCAGTTTTAGCTGAGCCTAACCACCTCCTCTTCACAGRGTTTTCTCTTTTACCATCAGGATGCAGATTTGCTGTAAAAAGATGTCGAACCAACAGATGTAAGAATTCCTTTTGACCTGCTGGTATTGTCATTTTAAATACTTCTTGTTGATTGTTGTGTGTTTGTAGTTTTTATGCCTATAACAAGATGGGTTTTTTAATATATTTGTGACCCATCATATTGAAATGAAGATTAAGTCAAATTTGGTCAAAATGATCTAATTACATTTTTAGATTCCTGCTTTAAAAGCCACATTTTGACACCTGGATCACTCTGATATCATCAACTTTTCCAGAGATATGATTTAATTAGTCTTATTTGTTATGATAACACATTACTGTTTGGTCTGAATCCTATTTTCATGAGTATTTTTTATGTTAATATAAAGAGGAAACCTCAAATATTATTTGTACATTAAGATTTCCCAGTTGGAAAGAAACAAAAACATTGCTAACTCACAGGGAAAAATTCAACATTTTAAGGCGTTTTTCCTCAAAATCAGTTTTTTTTTTGTTGCTACAGCTCAAAAAAATGCTTCAAAAATATTTTAGGATTATATTTCATACAATTCATTCAAATGATAAGATAAGG